TTGTTAGCGTTACTCATCAAGTGGTTCCATTAGCTGATAGTGAAACCAGCCTCCGGACCTGACAGGAGCACGATCAACAGGGACAGGATGTGACTGATTTTGAATCCATGAAAACTTTCGACTGATCCAAGTCAAATACCGCAGCGAGTCGCGTGTAAAGATCCAATGGCGACTTGCCATCAGGCGTGTGCTTGATCTGGAAATACATGCCCGCCGGACCATATTCAGCATCTGGCCGGTGAATGAGAGAAAAAAAAAAGGAAAGTGTTTCCAGTCTCGGCTGGTAGCTGTGTGGCTAGCGATAAGCTAAGCGCAAAGCTATCTAGCATCAATATCAACCACACACTGACTGACGGCCTGGACACAAACCTCAGCTTCACAGTTCAATCTGCGAGCCGCCTCGCCGCCAAACTTACCAGCTTTTTCCTGATCGTATCCCACGACAATAAAATAGTCAGCCAATCTAGCCATGTCTGCTGCTTTTCCCGAAATATACCAACACAATTCAGCATTTTTCCTTCTTCCAAAGCACAGCCATGTTTGACAGAAGGAGTGTCACTGCGCTTGCGTGCAGGAGCGGGAGACATCCATGGGCGTGGGCCCTTGAGTTTACAAATACAGCACTGTGTCCCAACAGAGCCTCTTTTTGGCCCTAAAAGCATAAGGACCCCTCCTTTTTTTGCAACAAAGACAGCCAAACAGACAGCCACCACACCAGAAATATACTGTATTTTATTGTAACTGCGGGAAAAAATATTGATAACAATTGCACAGTGGCAAACCTGTTATCATAAAAGTGGTTACTACCTGGTGACTGCAGTGGATGAGAAAAGCTGTTCCCAAAGACTGTTATGGATTGCTGACAAACATTCACTGAAATGATTGATATGTTTAATAAATAAATGTTTTACAGTAGCAGGTAAAATATTGACATCACTGTTGTACTCAGCGGATAATTTCCACAAGGTTGATATTATCCTACTCTTTCATACTTACTATCCACTATTTTCCTTATGATAATAAACACTCAAGCACTTTATTATTAACTCTATACTAATACCAGGTAGGCTCTGCCTTTCTTCTCAAAACAGCTTCACTCTTTGTGGCATGGATTCCACAAGATGTTGGAAACATTTCTTTGAGATTCAGTTTCACTTGGACATGATTGCATCACATTAATTTCTACAGATTTGTCGGCTGCACATTGATGCTGCCAATTTCCTCTTCTACCACATCCCAAAGATTTTCTGTTGGATTCAGATCTGGTGACTGGGGAGGCAACTTATTGTCAGGTTCATGAAAACAGTTTGAGACAACTTTTGCTTGATGACATGGTGAATTATCATGTTGGAAGAAGGAAAATTGTGGCCATAAAGGGAAGCACATGGTAAGCAACAAAATCCAGACACGCTGTGGTATTCTAACAATGATTGAGTGTTATTAAAGTCCAAAGTGTGCCAAGAAAACATTCCCCACACCACTACACCACCACCACCAGCCTGGACTGTTGACACAAGCAGGTTGGGCCCATGAATTCTTGCTGTTGATGCCAAATACTGACTCTACTATCTGCTGCTTCAGCAGAAATCCAGATTCATCAGACCAGGTGAGCCAGTGTCCACTGCAGCCTCAGATTTCTGTTCTTGGCTGACAGGACTGGAACCCTCCGTGGTCTTCTGCTGTTGTGGCCCACCCGCCTCAAGGTTTGACATGTTGTGCTTTCTGCCCACCACAGTTGTAAAGAGTGATTATCTGAATTACTGCAGCCTGTCAGCTCCAATCAGTCTGGCCATTCTCCTCTAACCTCTCTCATCAACAAGGTGTTTCCGTCCACAGACTTGCTGCTCACTGTATGTTTTTTGTTTTTCGCGCCATTTTCAATAGAAACTCAAGAAAATCCCAAGAGATCTGCAGTTTCAGATATACTCAAACCAGCCGGTGTGAAACTAACAATCATGCCAGGGTCAAAGTCGCTGAGATCACATTTTTTCCACATTCTGATGTTTCAGTGAACATTAACCGAAACTCCTGACTTGTATTGCACTGCTGTGATATGATTGGCTGACTTCATAACTGCACAAATAAGCAGGTGTACTGTGGGTCCTATATATAATAAAGCGCTCGATGAGTGTAACGTTATCAGAAAGACTTTGTTCCAGGGACACTTCATTGCAACAAATGTTTGTTAAGCTCTGGGCTACACACAGCTTTAATTGGAAGTCTGAAACCAGCAAAGAGAAATGCTAGCTATAACACAGTATATTACTTAAACGCAAGGAGCTGAGATTCTTTTCTCCCCTTCATGTGAAAGAAAGCTGTCCAATTTAAACTCCCATTTTTGAATACTTCAATTTTGTGGTGCTACAAGAGAAAAAATATTCTTGGTGCCCTCACAGACATTTCTTTTGTTTTAAAATTGGTCTATGAAGCTGAAGGGGGTTGTGATTTGAGTTAGTTACTTAGTTAGTGCATGATACTGAATATTTATGAAAACTGGTAAAGCTAACACAGGAAATAGCACATGCAAACCAGTGCTTTAGCTAAAGTGTGTGAGAGAAACAGACAAATCACAGTCACCGTCAACAATAGCAGGAGCACAGCAAATTCCACTGTATCTACACTTCACACCCTTTTTAATGTCTCTCTCTAATTTGTTATTGTTTTAGCTCTGTTTTCTTTGTCTCTTTCTCGGCCCCATTTATTGTTCTTGCTTGCTAGTAAAAGGAAGATGAAGACAGAGGTAGTCAAATAGTTGAAGCTGTGCCAAAACATGAAGAAATACAGACCAGGTGTCTGCATACGGTGTTTTGTTGTCACACAAGAATGATGGCAAAGTCATGGGATGCCAAAGAACACACACTTCCCGGTGACATTTCAAGGTTCATCATGGTATTATAACAGTTATGAATCATCTGCCTAATTTGTGCCTTTGGGGTTCACACCCTCATTTTACTGGCACACACGACATTAGTTGCTCAGGTTCCCCGCCCTTCATACCTGCTCACACGTAGAGTATAAGGTCGTGCAAAAACTGTCAATCACCCTACGATAGCAACTTCATGGAGGACAAGCAAAGGATTGCTATATAAGGAGCCAAAAAGCAACAGCAGAACTTTGCTGGCCTGATTGCACAATCTCATGTTGTAAACTCTGGTAAGGGGATTACTTGTCTGCTGGAGGCAATTATCATTACAAACTGCGTACAAAACATTCACTGGTTCACAGCACATGTGTTTGATTTTTATGTATTTTCTTTTTGTTTGAAATATGACACCGTGTATGGAAGGAGGTTACAAGAGATATAAATCAACTCAAGAAGGTTCTGTGTCAGGGACTAAATACAATAAAGTAGGGTATGCTACAGTGGAATGTCAAGTGTTAAGTGCCGAAAATTCTGTTGAAAAGGCGCTGTTTTTTCCCCTCCATCGAAACTGAAACAAAGATCTAAATCAAAAATGAAAGCTTTGCTTAGAGCTACTCGATGGGACTAACTTACAAAACACTGTGTGGAAATCTTAAACACTGGAATTTCTACACTGATAAAACTATATGGTTTTTCTCCGGTATTCACAACATTTCATACACTGAATGTGAGGGGGTATGATTTCAGTCTCTTTGAATCACATACTCTGTTTCTGAGGTGTAGATTACCTCTTCATAACAATATGTCCATTTCAGATATAGACATGCATCTACACTAGCAGAGCGACAATAGGACAGAGGCTGTGATAAACAAAAGTTGTTACCACCCCGGTGTGTCATTTCTAACGGCCTTTTCTTTGTATTTTTGCCCCAAGGGGTCTTATCCACATTTGCCTCATGAGCCGCTCTGACAGGGCTGTTATTTTGAGCTTTTTCAGAATAAACAGTTTTTAAGTGCTCTGATTTGAAATATCTTCTTTCTGTGTTGCTTTCAGTTATCTAGCTTTAATATGAACACACATGGACATAGTGTGGTCATGTAAAACATGCATAAAGGTTTAGAGTGACTCACTTTACTGCCCATCCCATGAGATCGATTAATGTTGGGGGATAATGTCCTCTATGACATGAGGGTAGACTTGATGGCTCTCCCATCATCACCTGACACATTCTTGTGTGTGAATTCCGAGGGCGAAAAGTGAAGTCATATTACTTATAATCTATAACAGCAACAAACCAGCAGAATTATTTGAAATAATGTCTAAGTCAATATTGTTCATTGTTCAACATAGATTATTGTTCAAGTTCATATTCTGACTAGATTTATTTTCAGATAATTGTAAAATTCCATTTCACATTTATACAAATATCATAATAAAGTATGATAAGTCCAGAGTCAAATATTTGCCTTGTACAAACAAATACATTAAGTATATTGTGTTTATAGTTGGGCGTACTTACCATACTCAATCAGTTACTCAGTGCTTGTTTCTTTCCAAATCTCAAATTCATCATACAGCGTACTTTCAAGCTGAAATGGAAGTTCACTGTGTCGGGGAGTGCCCTGAAAAGCAGACTGTGGAAACATTCCTTAAATTTTATTTCATAAAATTAGTGTAGTTTGACTAAAATGAATGTTAACAAAAAACAATAACTAACTGACCTTAAAGTCCAAATATAACGATGAATGTTTAAACCTTTTTATTATTAAGTTTTCTAATACACCCCCATAGAGAGCAGTCAGCTAAGATGAACATGTTGTTCTCTTATCGGGACAGTGACTTAAATATTTGATTCACATAATTGATGACCATTTATTTAGTGCCATTAAAAACACACCCTGAAATAAAACAAAGTAGATTTTATGAGAATTTTGAAACTTTGTTTGGGGCATCATTTCTACTGAGTTGTGAAAAACTGTGTTGCGTTGTTGTACCACATGAGCAGGAGTACAGCAGTAATGTAGTGGATGGGGTGGGGGAAAAGGATGAGAGACTGTGTGTCAGTCAGTGAGCCCCTCCCACCTCCTGTATAAAGGCTCACAGCCTGGTGTGTAGAGCTATTAGCAGAGTGACACAGCTGCCTTACAGAACTAGAGGCAATTTCAAGAAACCAGTGGAGTACTCTTTTATAGCTGATTCTACAAGAAGCTTTCTCATCCAACTGAATTATCAGAGAATTACAGGTATGTGCACTTTCTTGCTGTGATTTGCTCTTCTCCCAGCTGATGGCTTTATCCTTGCTTTTTTGAGGTCAGGGCACAAGTGTAGAGACAAGGACAGGTTATCTGTCTGGTTATATAAGCAGTTCAGCTCTTAATGTGTGCGTCTGTGGAATTGCCTTCAAGGTGTAAAGCATCTGACAGAGGCAGTGCATCATATATTGTTTACTAGTTGCAGTTAATTTAGCTAAGTTTTGATGTGTTTAAGCCAGTTGAATGGCATTTTAGTTTTTGTTTGACTTTTGAGCGGAGCCTATTTTGAACCCCTCATTGGTAGACTGTGTCCTTCACATTATTGGCCAGGGGCCCAAAGCATAGTTGTAGGTTTACTTAACCAGGCAAAATCTGACCTTAGCTTAACTTTTTAAATAAATGAATGATAAGTGCAAATAACTTGGCTTTTGGACTCTTGTGTAAGCAAGCACCAATGTGGCACTTAAGGGACTACTGTATGAGGGGGTTTTACATGCATAAAGCGACTGTAGGAAATTCATGCAGTTAAATATTAATTTCTAGAATAAATAAATAACTAAAAAATACTGTATTTTCTCTCCACAGGATTCAAAATGAAATTCATCTTCCAGTCCTTCCTCTATTGCTGCCTGCTGGCGACAGTAGCACACTGTGTGGAACTTGAAGTGAATCCAGAGTTGAAAAAAAGGTGAGCCATTCATTCAATAATCAAAATGTTTTCATCTGTGACAGCAGTTACCTGTCTGTTGAATTATCTACCTAAGATCTAAGACTAATGGACTTTTTTCTCCTCTCCCAGGCTAAGCATATGGCTAAGTAGCAGATTGAGACGCGATCTTGACAGTGTATCAGTAGAGAAGACAGCAGAGTCTGAATACTTTGTCAGACCAGAGGATATCAGGGATACCTTGCTGCCACATTCCAGGTAAGACATTTACCATGCAATCCTGAAAAGCTACAAGCTGTCTCCATTTGGTTATCCTATAATTTTTTGTGATTTAAGTGTGTTCTGCTTGTCATAGAAAGGAAATACAATATTTAAACTCCCAGACATTAACAACTCACAAATGAACAGCAAAGATTAATGTCCTCTCTTCCTCTGGTCTCCAGCACTGACATCAATGTCCGAGCCAAGAGGTCGAAAAACTCCTCCAACCCGTCAAGAAGACAAGGTTGTTCACTGGGCACCTGCACGGTGCACGACCTGGCACACCGCCTGCACCAGCTCAATAACAGGTTGAAGATTGGGAGTGCCCCTGTTGACAAGATCAGCCCGCAAGGATACGGCCGGAGGCGTCGATCTGTCCCGGCACACATGCTCACACTGAGGCTGGAGCAGGACAGGCTGAGACCCAGTTGGAGAATAACTGACTCACAAGTTCACAAGCTTGAGGCTCTCCTCAGACGGACTTGAACAAGGAGTTGAGAACAAAAGCAAGAGAGTAGCTGAGAGTTAGTGTCCTCTCTGCTCTGCTCTAAAATTCTCCAAATGCCTCCGACTCCTGCCAAGTATTCTCCAGCACATTTTTTCCAGGCATGAGGACTGAGTCAGAGCAAGACTGGCTGCACTGAGTTTCTCTAGAGGCTGAGACTTGCAGCTCAGAGGTGTAGAGCGTGCAAACAACTGCAGCTAGCTTACAGACACTGGATGGCACAGCGTGGAGAAAACTACAGGTGCTGCTCTCTGCTTGGCAGAGGGAAAGGAAGAGTGCTAATACCTGGCAAAGTGCACACATCCTCTGGCTTAAAGAGGGAACTCTCTTCAAACATTCTGGGACTTTACACACTTATTCCTCAAGGCCAGGACTTTGATAAGTGCTATCCTCTAAGGATTATACCAACATGTTCCAAACTGTCAAACTGTCAGTACTTGTCTGCACTTTTCCATTTGGACTTTGAGTCAAATGAATCATCAGGAAAAGACATCTTCATCACAATGCCAAACGGGAAGATAGGCTACAGTGCTCTGAAGCTCTCAGTTTATATAAAGTTTTGGACACTGTATAAGGGAAAATGCCTTTTTTGATTCTGTGAGATATGTGCCAGTCCACAATGGATTGAAATATACTTGAAATTGTTATTGTTTGTACAAAAACATGTGCAATCTATATTTGTTTTTATTGCAGGTATATGTATATAAGAAATTCCTTTATTTAAATATTATATAGAGGTTACATTTAAGTACTTATGCAGATAGAACTATTTTTGTACAGGAAGAAATATATATGGGCATTGTAGCTATTTGTCATTATTCTTTTGCAAACTGTGGTAATAGGATATCTGTTTTATAGGTATATTATATATTTGTAAATCTGTTCTATTTTATTTGTGTCAAAGCAATAACAATGTCATTCAATAAACATTTTGCATACAAAATCTAGACCTTGTCCAGACCCCCTTTTCTCCTGGATCTTGTAAACTGAAAGTGGCAGTCTATTGTCTAGGGTGCACAGCTACACAGACACAGAGCACCTGGTCTCTGTTAAGTGATTACAGGGTCTCATTAGAGCCTCCCCTCCTCTCACTACATTCCCCTAGTTATGATGCCCCCCTTCCCTTCAAAAAAAAAAAAAAAAAGGGCAGACAGGGTGCCAGGCACATTCCTGCTTGGTTCAGCTCATATTTGTTGGCTCACCCCACACCACAGAGCAGCCCTAAAGCCATCAGAGGAGGCTGAGGCTTTAGTTCCATCTGTGTTCAATGGTAGATGATTGGGACATGAGAAGACCGATGCAGGGGGTTCCGGTCCAACATTCCTGTGAGAGCATCACAAAAACTGTTCCAACAAAGCACTGACCTTCACATTCAAACATTCAAACAGCCCCCAAGACTGAACGGCACTGAAAGGCCAGAGCCTATTTACTTGACACATTATCACCCCTTGTTTGACATTTTCAGGGAGTTCAGACTACACCACCTAAGATATATACAGTATATTACAGATTTCTCTTTTGGCTATCTACTTTTACTCAGAGCAGTACCAGAAAGCAAAGGGTTCAACTGTCTACATGTGCGTTTGCCAGTTTGGAAATGTTGTAGTGGGGAAAAAGGTGGGATGAACACTACACAGTGATGGACCATGAGAACCCACAAAGAATAGCCCAGAAGGTGAGAACATGGTATCTTATCCTCTGGCTTTGCTCATTCTCTACTCTAAAAAATTTCACAGTGCAGTATACATTTTATCACGTATACAGTTTTATGACATAGATCAAATCAGGAATTTACTGAATGATATAAAGACAAACTAAGGAGATCCTTAGAGTAAGATATTCTTTGCCACAAGCAAGGCTATCAGCTTTTCCTGACAAGCCTGTGACTGAATAAAATGATGCTTCACTTTAGTTTTTTGTAGAGCATACAACACTTCATATCTATTGTGATAATTAGTAATTAGAAACATTGAATGCAGACGGTTTCTGCTTTTGTTTGAATTTGATTTCATTGTGAGTAGGTTAAGTAGAAACAAAGTGAGGGTCGAAACTCTAATTGTATGTTTTCTCCTGCCATCTAGTGAGACTGGATGGGTAAAACTCCAGAATAGTGTTTTTTGGAAGTTCTTGGTATTATTCATCAGACCGCTGACTTCAAATAAAGTTTTTTTATTAGTAAGTGGGAACAATGATGAGGTGAGAACTGTGATTATTCCTTTAATTATATTGTTGGTTCTGCCTTTTCACTCAGCAAAGCATATAGAACTGTGACATCTTCCAAAAAAAGATCTCATCAATAATGAGTAGTTTTAAGTTTACTTTCATCTTAATAAAGTAAAATAAATCATGTGCATGAGACATATAAAAGCTGCATGCCGCTGCTCTTGCTTTACTACTGTTTGCTTGAAACCAGTTCTTTTGCATTGAGGGATTTATAATTTAATAAAATTTGATTTAATTTAAAATAGCAAACAATGTCACTTTAATCACTTAAAAAAAAGGTGTTTATTTTTGGGGTTTCAGTTTTTATTTTTGTATTTTAAATCTAGTCCTGAAAAATAACCTACGGCTAAATTAAATCAGAACAACTACCACATGTGAATTAGACAATACCTGCTCCACAAGTGACTGAATGACATGAGGCCATTAACAAATACTGTCAAGAACCTAAAACAAAGCAAATGTGCCATCTAGTGGCTAATCAACTTTCCTTTTAACCTATATTTTGAATGGGAATTTAGTTTCCACACAACCCTTATGGTAAGAAAAAAAAGTACAGTCTCTTCTTCAGTAAGCCAAGATGGCCGTGACATGATAATAGCATCAAGAAACTTATCAGTGTAGGTCAACTGGTAAAAAATAAATAATACCCAGTTTCAAGGACTTACTGTATGCTAAGCCCCAAGTCTTATTCTTTCTGCTGCTGTGTTCACACCTACTGACAGTATTATTTTTTTTCTTCCAGCAGAATGTTGCTTAGATAACTCACCATTTCAACTTTATTGTCCAAAATGCAATTGATTGAAAAAAGACTGTCTGGAGTCACTGGAAAACAACCATCAGGAACTCTTATTTAATAAGATCACCTATTTACACTGCGGTACTGTCACTGACAGATTGTTTAGTTATTACAACATTACAGAGGAGAGGAGAGGAGAGGAGAGGAGAGGATTAATCAGTCTACCATTTCTGCTGTCAATCAAAATGATACAGTCCCAGGGCAAAAAGTCAGTCCTCTAAAGCCAACTCTAAAAGTACCCTGATAACCTGAGTTGAGAGGATTAGCCTCATAATCTCAAACACAGGCTAAATCAGGGACTATGGGCCCCTGCTGTTTATGACCACAGCAGTAAATCTGGGTCCTCTTCTAAGGCTGAGTGACGAGTTCACACATGCTGCACTACACGACTCATTCTGCTCTGAAAAGGTATGAGTGAAAGTGCTTAGACCTGGCCTTGAAAGATGGATGTTACCAGTGGTACAGACAGGTTAGAGTTTTCTGTTTCTTTGCAACATACACAGAATACATGCGCTAATACAGACACTTACTCTTGCCATGATGTACACCGATGAAGTAAGTCTGGGTCAGCGTACTGTGTCGTAGTTGAGGACCTGTAATTAAAGAGACAGAAGTGAGAGCAGGGTTTTTAAGCTTTGTCACAAATAAGTCTTCCTATGGAAAATGTTATATCTCATGTACATTCAGTGTTTATCTAATCAAAAGGGCACCTTATATTGCTGTTAATACTTGCTGGTCTGATCTCAGCAAAATGTCCTGCAAACAAGCAATAACAATGAATGACTACATCCACAAGAGGATATAATTTGTCTTTAAGTAAGAAGAGAGTAAACGGGGAAAACATTGATATTTTACATACTCACCTATTTTGAACATAATTCCCAACATATCACTTTGTACTGAAAAAGCAGTTAGTTAATAGCACCACAGTTAAAGCACCACAAAGGCTGACTTCAGCCTTTGTTCAGCTCATGTCTTTGTACAAAGCTGCAGCAATGAAAGAGTTAAGGATGGAGTGATGTGCACTGCAGGGTGGAGAATGAGATATCATATACTCTAGCCACAACAAAAGCACAGCATGACTTAGGTGTTTCTCTGAGGCAACTTGCACAGTTTATACACACCTCAGAGACAGCAGAGCCTGACAAGGTGAGTGGACTTATTTGACATATTAGTCTAGGACCAGTGATGACCATTGATAATTGACAATGGAAGGCAAACTTGATGTATCTTTCTATGCCTTCAAAATCTCCTTTATTGATTTTTAGTGATATTTATTTTCTACAGTATGTGAGAATTTTTAACTGATAACTGTTTATTGATATCCAAACCTATTCATCAGTACTATAAAAAAAACTGCAAATGGAAATGTGACAAGTATTACAGAATAGCCGTAAGGGATGCTGCTTTGTGTGCATGGGTTAGTGCACTTCCTTTGCTGTTCTTCATTCTTCTCCAGGCCCTGGCCACTGAGAAAGATGAGAAGAGGCGACACGCCTCTTTTAAAGCAGCAGTCAAGTCCTTGCTTGGGAAAGAGTGAGCTTCTCTACGTTCCCTCTCTCATTCTATCTATCTCTGTAATGTGGTAAATGGCGTTCTCTTGTGTGGTTCACCTCTCTTAGATAGGACTTTGACAAGAGCCAGGTTGGCGGCTCAGCCAATAATGGTAGTGAGGTGTCTGAGAAATGCAAAAAAGACAAGATAAAGCCAGCTAAGTATAGCAAGCTGGGTCTGAGATGGGGCTATGTGTGGTCCAGTAATGACCTCCGGAAGCCTCCTATGGGATTTACACAGTGAATGGAAAATAAAGAATGATGATCCTTATTCCTCAGAGTAAGTGTGGAGATGATATATGGTCAACTCCACATTTCCACATTTCCACATTTACAGTACATTTAAGCAGACAAACACAAGGGCACACCAACCCACATTAGCACAGTCCAGAGTGAGCACCATTAAGATACACCCCACATTAGTGTCTAATAAGGCTTTCTGCAAAGCTACACCATAACACTGTTTCTCAGTCAGATCGGATGCTTCCTATACCAGACAGGTTGATCAATAACACTGAATAAAATACTTTATCTCCTGCCTTATTAGGATGCTGAGTTGGATAGTCCCCACTATAGACTGAAAGGCATTTTTATTATTTAAGGATTGATTGATTGATCACTCTGCAGTGGTGGGATGGGAATGACCAAGCCCCTTATTGTATTTTTTCTGAAATATTATCACATTACAAATATTGTGGATTGATAGGATTATTAAAGGATCCATTCCTTAAATGTGAAAACTGCAAGTCTAAAGGAAATAAACATCATTGTGCGTTGACAGACACATGTGTTACAAGAAATGAAACAATGAATGAGTAGTACCCCTCCTGGCTAATTCAAGCATGCAGAGATGCAGCATGTGCTGTATCTGTACCGCCTGTGCATCACAAGCAGATATAACACATTGTTGTTGAGCTGAATTGTTGAAGCTCTGAGACTGCTTTAGATTTGAAAATAAAAATGATACATTTTATTTCATTCATAGTCAATAAATTCATGAATTCCCTGGGAAATCAGGGGGAAGTGATGCACTATAAAATTTGTCACAGATTCTGATCTAGACCATCCATCTTCTGCTACTTATCAGAGTCCAGGTCATG